ATTGTAGAGTGGCGGCGGTCGTATCACCAGTGCCGGATTAAGCTAGTGCGGGGCCTGTAGCAAATGTTATAAAGGGGCTCTAAATACAAAAAAAAACATAAATATTAAAAGACACATTTTTCACTTGCATAGTAAAGTAATTATATTTTTTCATTTGCTATACAGCCAAATAATACGACAAATCGCTAACCTTAAACACCCGGTCGTTCATGAAAGTTGAAGGCAGTATAGTACTATAGTAATAAAGCAAGTGCAGAATCACTGAACCAGAATTGATAGCTTGAAAGCATTTAGCGCAGGGCCCTTGAAAGTGCGGGGCCCGTATGTAGCTACTTTTACGACTAAGATAATCCGGCTCTGCGTGTCGCTACTCCATCGCGTGGAGAGCCAACCGCAAGGCAGCAGCAAATCGTCGCCGCGTGCGTCCGTCTTAAGAACCTGCACGTCTGTAGCCCGCATGCCCAGCCACCGCATGCCCAGCCACCGCATGCCAAAGCAGCTTGTGTGGGGCCGGAGAAGAGACGGAGCTGATGGCGGTACAGGAGGATGTAGAGTTAAGTGGACTTGCCGATGACCGGTACCAGCGGTGATGTCAAGAATGGCCTCTGGGGAGGATGAGGCTCGTGAAGGACGCAACTACGCAGCTGGAGACAAATGCCCTCCGAGAACAGTGGAGGGCAAAGGAGCGACGCTCACAACAATGAGCTTTGAACTTCTTTCGCACAGTATGTAGCCGACCGTACTGATCGGAGGTGCCGAGGCTGCCTCTTCATAGGCGCTTGCACCAACAGTCTGTTAAGGCTATATGGGGAGGGGGATGGGATCGTTGTGTGCTAGTGCGCGTGGGGAGCGGTGGTGTAGCGGTTAGCGCACTGCACTACAAACTTGGCGATCCGAGTTCGATTCCCGCTCACGGCCAAAATCAGTGACGATTATCTGAACCGGTCCTGGCTTTCCCCTAGGTCGACTCAGCCTCGAATGAGTACCTGGTGCGGTGTGTAAACATCATCACTGCGGGGAGACAAAGGCGGCCGGGCGTGGTGCTGGCCACCCACCCCCTCGTGTACCGATCTAGCCTTCATAGGTGCTCGCTAACAGCACTTGCCCCAACAGTCTGTTACAGTGTTACAGGCTATACGGGGGATCTTTGTACGTTGCGTGGTGTGTAAGAGGTCTCTGTGCTCTCCGTGGAAGGCATTGACAGGGACACGGGTACTGAGCTGGGTGATAATGCCAGTCCCATAGTGGGCCGTCCATAAATGACCTCACGCGATTTTGGACGATTTTTGACCCCCCTTCTCGTCACACGGCGTCACAAAAAGTCAGACCCCCCCTCAAATATGACGTCACAAAGCAAACCATATTTCCATAAAACATGCTTCAAATCGCTTTACACTATCGTCATTGTAGTGCGTATTTAATGTGGCACTGCACTCTGATGTTGTAGGAGAAAACATTTATTAAAAAGTCTATTTAAGTAAGTAGAACGTGTTGTCTATATTTCTTTCAAGTTGCGAATTTTGATGTGACGTCACATTTCTCAACCCCCCCCCCCCCCCCCCTTGTCACACATCGTCACAAATGTCTGACCCCCCCCCCCCCCCAGGTGCGTGACCTCATTTATGGACGGCCCAATGTTCGGCAGGAGAATGTAAATACAGTACAATAGTCCTGGCGGCTAACGTTTTTAATTTGTTCCGGGGAGACTACCGTTAACCCATTTAACATGTTGATCGGATTTAGGAATTACATGATTGTGCACGAGAGAGAGAGAGAGAGCTGTTTCAACTGCCAAAACAGCAGAACGCAATGTCAACAAAGTCAGTCGACAGTCGAAACGGCTCACAAATGTCGCGTCGCTGATTGGCTGAGAGCGTGGCTCAGCCCCCGGATTGGCCGAAAGTGGCGCCCCCGCGTGCACAAGGTAAGCACGGTACCGTCACGTCAACATGTCAACGTTTGTCGACAACGTGGGGGGTCCCTATGGGAGGCGAAACGTTCACGGTAAAACCGTGAACCGATGAGGGACTACTGTACAGCAAAGAAATGTGGACGTCCGCCCTTTCTGTCTGTATGAGATCGAGCGTTTCCCCCTCGCATGCGTGGGGTTTCTCCAGGCGTTCCCGTTTCCTCCTCACACATGTAAACAACGCTCGTTATTCGTTCGAAAACACCTTCATATATAAAGAACCGCAGAGCTTTGGAAATCGTTGGTGGCGCCTGCTCCACACCGCGTGGCTGCTGCTGTTGCATTCCACCGCTCGTCTGTGGTTCCACCTATTGGCGCCTCTAAGTCGTCCTCTCTGTTCGAGAGTCGGCGAATGAATAATAAAGTTCACATTACTATGATAATAATGTATGAACACCGGTGCGGTGTATGTGTATTGTGCGTGCCGTCGCGTATCGCTCGCTCACTCACTCACACGGCCCCAATCTTATTTTTGATTTACAGAGAGCGCCTTCGCTCGAGGCGCTTGGCGTAGTTGACAAACAATACAAATAAACGGTAACAGAATAGAATGATTTAGATGACAGGAGCGTGCAAGGATTGATGAATGAGCGACGGCGAGAGAGGGGTACTTAGGGGATCACGAAGGGGTACAGGGGAGAGACGGGAAAGAGTGGAGGGGGCGAGGGGAAGGAAGAGAGAGATGGAGCTTTAAGAGAAGATATGAAGGTTAAGGAGTAGGGGGGTGCTAAATGAACCGGGGGAAGTTTATTCCAGTGCAGGGGTGCAGGGAGGAAGAAGAACTGAAAAAACGGGATTGGGCACAGGGAGACGGAGGGACAGGGAGAGATTGGGAATGAAGTGAGCGCACAAGGCGACAGCGAGCCCCTGCGGGTGCCGCTAGGGCAGCCCGAGCAGCACCTGTCGAGGAGTCCCAGGGGATCCTCGGGAAGCCCTTAAATGAGTAACGGGCACTGCTTTAATTGGTAATTCTATTGAATTCTTGTGCAAGGCAGATATATGTTCAGGAAATGCCGATGTAGGGGTCAGAATCAGAATATTTAGACTGGAGGAGGAATCCGATGAGCTATAAAAGCTCTTTGTCACAGATGTCCGGTCTGGGGACACGGGGTCAACGAGTTACAAGGACAAACAATACAAAGAGAATAAAAAAGCCGCTAGCCACTGCGAGAGGGCTTAAGAGTTGGTGTAGTTTTCCTATTCCTGCATCGTTGACGGGGTGTGGACTACTCTGGGGTGGTTTACTATGCGGCCCACAGTTTGGGCTGCATGGCCACAGTCCAACTGCTGAACCTTGTCTTTCATCAGTATTCATTTTAATGGGAAATCAAAGATCGAGATGATGACACCATGGAGCAAAGCTGCTGCTGATGCAACAGCTGTGTTAGCCCCAATCCCTCCAATCACTGCAGAAGCCCTTCCATGGCCTGCGTCCACACTCATTTTACATTCAGTGTTTTATTTTGTTCGCTGAAGTAGGGCCATTGTCCAAAACGTCGCCTTTTTTAAAATCAAGGCCATGCTATTTTATATCAAGATCTGGTGGGCATCGGGTGAAGTGGTTGGAGGCGCTGCTGCTAAACCTGCAGTGTGCCACTAAGAGGTGGGGTCTTACCAGTGGCGGGTCGTGACATTCCCACTCGGCGGTGCAGTTGTGAGTGACCTCTGAAAATATGATCTAACTAGCTTTACTACCCGGCTTCGCCCGGGACTTGGATTCACGACGCTCGGCCGCCTTTGTCTTCCCAGTGGCGATGTTCACACACCACACCAGTTACTCGTTTGAGGCTGAGTCGACCTAGGAGAGGCCCAGGACCGGTTCAAATAATCGTCACCGGTGGTGGCCGTGAGCGGGAATCGAACTCGGGTGGCCGGGTTCGTAGCGCAGCGCGCGAATCGCTACGCAGACGCTGCCCCCCCCCCACAAACAGGCTAAAGACAAAGATCCCCCGTGTAGCCTGTGAGACTGTAGGGGGCAAGTGCTGTTAGCGAGCACCTATGAAGGCCGGCACGGCACACGAGGGGGTGGGTTCACAAATTTCCCTTTTATATACAACATATAGATTTAAAAAAAAGCTCGTCATGTTATTGGCTTTCCCGTGAAAGTAATATAACGTTCTTATCTACCAACTGCTTCCAGAAGACAACTTCCGGAATAAGCATACCTCTGGAAGATCTTGACTTAAAGCTCTCGTGACTGCAGGAATTCATATTCTTTGGGTCTTTCGGTAAAGCCACGTAGATAGAAAAAAATATCACGACGTTTCGATCGCAACACAAGCAATCGTCATCAGGTGAAAAAAGACTATTATTTTTTGCGTGGCTCTGGAAGATCATCAAGTACCAGAAGTTATCTTCTGTAAGATGTCTAAAGCTTACTCTTTGGTTATTTCGGTAAAGTCACGTAGAAAGAAAATAAATTAAATAATAGAGTATGACGTTTCGATTGCAACACAAGCAACCTTCATCAGGAAGCACTAAATTTTATAGAGACAAAGCACAGACATGGAAACACACAGACAGACACACAAGCAAAGAGAGACAACAGAGACACACAGAGACACACAGAGACACACAACATAGACACACAGAGAGAGACACAGACACACAGAGAGACAACACAGAGACACACAGAGAGAGACACACACAACATAGACACACAGACACAGAGAGAGACACACAACAAAGACACAGAGACCCAATGCCTCTGTGTCGAGGCCTTAAATAGAGAGACGGGGGGGGTTGGGCAGACAGAGAGGTGGGGTCTGCTTACGTAACACTTCTTCCGGAAGCTGTCTACCTCTGGAAGATATTCAAGTTCCAGAAGATAACTTCCGGAAGACGGCTACCACACGAAGAACGTCAAGCTCTGGAAGGCATCTTCCGGTAGACATCTTCCGGTTCCAGAAGATATCTTCTGGAACCGGAAGATAACTTCTGGAAGACGGATACCACTCGAAGAACTTCAAGCTATGGAAGGCATCTTCCGGTAGAGATCTTCCGGTTCCAGAAGATGTCTTCCGGAAGAGGCGTACGAGGGGCCCTTCTGGAAAGAGTCCCGAGGCGAAGATGGCGGCCCCCAGTACGCGGCCCGCGGGCGCCTCTCGCTCGGATAAGAAGTCTTCCTCCGCGGGAGAGAAAATCGTGGCCGGCTTCAACAAACTGCGCGGCGAGCAGCGCGCCCTGGCCGCCAAGAGCGCGCAGCTCGACATGGAGCTCACCGAGCACAAGTGAGAGGAGCGGCGGGCGGGAGACGAGTGGGGAGGGGCGGGAAGGCGCTAGGCGAGCCGCGGGCCTGCTAGGCCGCACCGCTGTTTCTCGCGTAGAGACGGGGGAGTGTTACCCACACTTTACCTCACTACACGACCTGCCGACCGTACATTAATAGTGATACGTGGCTTGTCACGACCAATATTGGTGTATTATTTGGGGTGGGATCGACCTGCCTCATGGCAGAGACACTAAAGAAATGTTCGAAACCCCCTCGACTCAACCGTCCGGTCATTCAGATTACGGTGGATGGAGGAGGGCAACATCCCATTTCATTCCTGGGTGTCCTGCTGGGACGTGCACGGGTTACCATAACACATGACGCAAGCGCACGGCATGCAGACGCTGACTTCAGACGAACGATCGCGTCTCCCCCGCCCATCAACGATGTTCTCGCGTCAACGACGTCTCATCGTCAACGTCGCGATTCATGGGAAAGATAGCCCCCTTCGGTGTCCTCACGTTTCTTTTCACTCTCGTCTGTCTTGTAGTGCCAATGCGCTCAGTTAAGTTAATGCACAACTTTCTGGCACGATTCTAGATTTGAAGTTTTCGTGACTGCAAGGAGCTATATTCTTTGGTTCTTTCGGTAAAGTCACGTAGGTGAAAAATTAAATCACGACGTTTCGATTGCAGCACAAGCAATCATCAGGTGTGACAACCACAGCAAGAATTTATTTTACTGAAGTGGGAGAGATGCCAAGGTTAGGGCAGTTAAGTAAGTCCGAGAGGGTGGGGGGAAATGGAGGGGGCGAATGGGGAGAGGAGGGCGAGCGCTGCAGGGACGTTGAGAGCAAAGAAGCAACATGATTGCTGCCAAGATCGATGATGGCGCCCAAAGCAAAATAGCCGCACTGCTAAACGCTGATGATGCAATTAACTCGGTAAAATAGACTAATACCCGGTAAATAAGATGGAACAACTATGAACAGTTACGTTTTACTTGGTTAATAACATCTTTCCAATGATTACTCAATTTGTATCCATCTCGGTTGAAGTTATGTTTATATATCTGGATTGCGTCATGAACAAATCTGATACGAGTCTCTTATTTAAGACGGAGGAGCCTTTCCCGACCAATATTAGCCTGCACCCGACACAGCCAGTTAGTAAGGTTTGTCACGTAAACAAAACATGGCAAACTTGATTTGGAGCTTTCGTGACTACAGGAATTACTTTTTTTTTCGGTAAAGTCACGTAGAAAGAAAATACATTAAATCATAGAATACGACGTTTCGATTGCAACACAAGCAATCGTTATCAGGTACGAATGAATGAGAAAAGAACCTAGTAATTTTAGAAATGCAATGCAATACAACACAGAGTCTAACATAAGAGTCAACACCCTACCTGGTTGATTACGTTTTTCCAAAGATTGCTAGATTTGAGAGAGAGACAAAACACAGACACGGAAACACAGACAGACACATAAGCAGAGAGAGACAACACAGAGACACAGAGAGAGACACACACATAGGCACACAGAGAAACAACGCCTCTGTGTCGAGGCCTTAAATAGAGAGGGGGGCAGAGAGAGAGGGGGGGGGGGTAGAAAAATTAGCATGTCAATGAGAGATTTGGAGCTTTCGTGACTGCAGGAATTACTAGAGACAACACAGACACACAGAGAGAGAGAGAGAAAACAAACAATAAAACAAACTTAGTAAAATTTACTAGTGCAGCACACCAGTGTGTTGGAGAACAAACCCACAATTACCATTTGAGTACGAAGTTTTGCAAGTAATTGCAACTTGCATCATCAGGCGACATCCAGAGTTGTGCTAGATTTAACGACACAGTTGTATTTACGCGATCTAACCCAAAAAAATTATGAACTAGTTTCTTACGTCGTCAATTCCAGGGGCTCAACTCTGGGGAATACGGCAGCGTTATGCGACGCATAGAGGACCCAGTCAGCCACAAGTGGGTCCTGAATCAACATATAAACAAGTAACTGTTTAGAAAAATTATTGAATAAAATATTCCATCAATTAACTATGAATGCCAAAAAAACACTGTTACAAATGGTAAAGTAATATTTCCGAAAAATACACACAGCGTAAAATCTAGTAGCGGTACTGCTGGTGTTTGTTACTGAATACCACCAGGATTTTTTTGCAAACTGACATGCGCATGAAAGCAAGACGCATGCTAACTTCGTGAGTATTTCATATTCTTTGGTTCTTTCAGTAAAGTCACGTAGATAGAAAAAAAGTTAATAAAAATTAAAACTACGACGTTTCAATCACGTCACAAGCAATCGTCATCAGGATATTTTTCTATCTACGTGACTACAGAGAGAACCAAAGAATATGAATTCCTGCAGTCACGAAAGTTTTAAGTCAAAATTTGTGAGTGTTGTTACCTTTACATCTTTTTAATATTGTCACTGTCTTTCTCTAAACCCTAAAGACGGATGCAACTTAAATAATATATATAGTTTTAGCCTACATATTGTTGTATACAGGTTAAAAACCATCTGTAGCCATTTCGGTAAAAGTGAGTCGGAAGAAAGGAGTGGGGGGGCCCACATTCGGATCTTGCATAGACCCCCACTCCCGTTGTAATGGCTTGTTGCGCACCTGGTCAAGCCATTATTATGCGTCCAGCTGAAGCAGTGTCTGATGATGAGCACCAACAAAAATGGGAATTAAATGCGTTACGCAAGCCCGATATTGGAATGGATACATTAAACAAGTGGGTGCAGCAATGAGTAATTGAAATGCAATAAATTTACTAACACAGTTAAAGCAATCAAACGTTCGTATATCGCAGGAATCTTACCTATCAACGTCATTTTATGTCTGTCTGTCCGTCTGTCTGTCTGTGGATGCACACTTGCGAAGGATTTTGGTTGCAAACCTTCGGGTTTACGTTTTGAAAAAGTAGCTGGGGTACCATGCCGTAAACCCCCTGGTTAGCCAGCGCTATTCTGTTTTCCCATTAGTCAACTTTAAAGTAGTAAAACTAACAATTTAGTGGAATATTTATTTATTTCCTCGCACCGCTAAAGCTGCCCGGGGGTTGCCCCTAGCAACGCACACGCATCATCAGTGGAGGGGAGGGGGGATTTCTCATTTGCGTTCAAAATGGGAAAAAAATACACAAGGTTGAGGTAAATTCATCAATTTGTCATGTCCTCTTCTCTCCCCACCCAAATGTGTGCACTTAATAGTATAGGGTCGGTAGATACTAATATTATAGCGCTTAGATAGTATTATTGTAGCGCGGGCAGGGGGATGGTGGGGGGGATAGCGGCCCAGCCCCAGTGCCAAGGTGCCACCTCGGCCGGCTGGGCAATCTAGGCGAGGCCAGGGGTTCTGCACGGGTCTAGGTCTCACCACGCCACTCTGTCAGGTGAGTGCTTTGTGTTATAGAGTCGATATATACTGCTATAGAGTCAGCATGTACTACTGTAGCGATATCAGGTACCACCACAGTCAATATGCACTGCTGTTATCATAGCAGGTCCACCAAAGTCAGTATCTACTGCTGTAATCATAGCAATTTCCACGACAGTCAGTATGCACTGTTGCAGTGATGGCAGGTTCCACTACAGTCGGTATGCACAGCTGCAGTGAAAGCAGGTACCACCACAGTCGGTATGCACTGCTGTAGTGATAGCACATACCACCATAGTCGGTATGCACTGCTGTAGTGGTAGAGATACTGCTATCGAGTTGGTAGATACTGCTAAATAGAGGTAGTAGATACTAAAACAGTCAGTACCACTACCATCAGTAAATAGTGCTACAGTCAGTACATACTACTACTAGCATAAGTACCCGGCTTCGCCCGGGTCTTGGATCCACGATGCTAGGCCGCCTTTGTCTCCCCAGTGGCGATGTTCATACGCCACAGAAGTTACTCGTTTTGAGGCTGAGTCGACCTAGGGGAGGCCCAGGACCGGTTCAAATAATCGTCACCGGTGGTGGCCGTGAGCGAGAATGGAACTCGGGTCGCCGGGTTCGTAGCGTGGCGCGCTAACCACGACACTACAATGCGTTACGCTTCCGTTGTAGGATTTGTGTGAGGCGCGCCGATCCGCTGTAGGGTTTTAGTGGGGCGGGCCGATCCGTTGTAGGGTTTGTGTGAGGCGTGCCGATCTGTTGTAGGGTTTTAGTGAGGCGCCCCGATCCGTTGTAGGGTTTTAGTGAGGCGCGCCGATCCGTTGTAGGGTTTTAGTGAGGCGCGCCGATCCCCCGCGATACAATAATACTGTGTAATCGCTATAAATTAATAATCGACCGACCCTATAATAGTAATTGCACACATTGTGGTGGGGGGGGAGTGAAGAGGACGTGAAACTTTGTGTTAATGCGTGCGCCTATTTTTAACGGGAATAAAAAATGGCGTCCACCCCGCGGCGAAGGCGTCGCTACTCATTGCCAGGGGCAACCGCCGTCCAATGAAAGCGGCGAAGGCGTCGCTACCCGTTGCCAGGGGCAACCGCCGTCCAATGAAAGTGCGTATGGTCCGGCGACACACAGACACACAGACAGACAGATTCACGATTTTATATATATAGATACAGTCAGTAGATACAACTACAGAGTCAATAGATACTACTTTGTTGTATATAGGGTGTGTATGTATATATACCTATGCGGGGGTATATATATTTTTTGAGGGGGGGGTTGACAATTTTCAGTAACCTTTTAGATCAACCATTTACCCCCCACTTTCTATAACTTTTTGGATTTCTGCAAGCCTCTTGAAATTGTGTTAGTGGAGAAATGGACAAACGGCCCAGCAGGCTTTTACAATAGCTTAGTATCTGTGTATGTATATGTAAGTTTTTTAAGAGAAGTTTTGAAATATATTTTTTGCCCGGCCAACATGGGTACTTCCCGCTAGTCTTACCTATGAACGTTATTTTTTGTCTGTCCGTGTGTCTGTGTGTGTGTTCACACACTTGCGAAGGATTTGGCTCTCAAACGGTGGAGTTTATGCAAAAAAA